TCCATTCCATTAAGAACCTTATTTCCTCTTTCAAAAAAAGAACCTTATTTCCTAATTAAAAAGGGGCATCATTTCATCTTATATTGGTAATTTGATTTTTAAGTTTGGATTAGTTCTTTTAAATTTTTGTTTAATTTTGTTTTTTTGTTCATATTGGTGCTTTGAATGTCAATATATTTTGATCAATTGCCTTGATTTTTTATTTTTGTATTTTTAAAACTTTTATTCCTATTATAGGGTTATACATAACCAAAATCAATATTTGTAATCATTTCAATTCCACTCTAATATAATGCCAAACATGCTAAATACTTTCATCAAAACCTATTACCATTACCAAGTATTTGATTCTCATTCTGGTTCCAATTTTCATGTGCGAACCAAACACACCCGGCCCTAAGAATGATATTTACACTCACATAATAATAAAAGACCAAAGAACTTGTGGTCAAACGGCATGACTGTGACTCTTTTAAATAAATGTCACAAGTTCAATCCCAGAGGGTACACTGACTTTTTGTGTTTTAATAAGTTAAGAAAGTATGTATATACATTTACTATATTGTAAAATAGTAAATTAAGTATGTATAGTATGTATATACATTTACTATATTGTAAAAGAGTAAATTAAGTATGTATATACATTACTATATTGTAAAAGAGTAAATTAGAAGTCCCGTCAATGAATAGGGGGAAGGTATAGTAATGCTATGAATGACCCAGTATCGGAGCGTTCTCCTGTGCCGATTCCATAAAAGATGAGATCATCCTTGTGAGATCACCGAATCAGATAGTAGAGTTCGTCAATACTGTACTGAGCGTATTTTTGACTTTATACTACTTATTCTCTTTCAATTCCCATGTATACCAAACACTGAAATTGAAATTCCCAGTAATTCTATTCCTGTCAACCAAATACTGGAATTTAAATTCTTACTTTATTCCCAGTAATTCAACTCCCATGAAATTACAATTCCTTTCCCACATAATTCCCCCCTCCAACCAAACGTCCTGTTAGAGTATACCGAATCAGATAGTAGAGTATACCGAATCAGTATAGCTATCCTTCTTCTGATGCAGCAACGCAATTTGAATTAGTATCGAAAGTAAGTGCTAAATAATTTCTTTCTTCTTTTACTTGTTGATATAAAATCATGTTCCATTCAATAGAAAAGTCGTGTGTATAAATTTAGTAGATTAAAAGTCCCACTTAAGACTGTTTTCAACTTCAAGGGGCCGTTTGGTTCACGGAATGTCAGATTACCTTAGGGAATGTTGGATTGCTGGGAATGTTAGATTGCTGGGAATGTTAGATTCCTGTGTTTGGTAAAAACTGAGATATATAATATAAACATGTTTGGTTGAAGTATTGTTATTTATGTTATGATGATTATTTTACTTTAATACCCTCAATATATTTTAATGCATTTCAATATTCCAATGCATGTAACCATGCAAAATTTGATATATATATATATATATATATATATATATATATATATATATATATATATATAATTTTCATTCTTTCATCCGAAAAGTTGACTCGTGACTTCATACATACAGATTCTTTAATTTCTACAAATTCAAATGTGGCTTCCACAAAGTTGATTTTTCATGTTAAGCAAAGTGAACTTAGCTTGCTTGCTTTAACCGAAAGGTTAATTTTGATTTTTTTATTTTTTTTATTTTTTCGGTAAAAAAACAAAGCAATGTGATGGAAAATGAAGGGCAAAGTTAGTAAAATGTCAAGGGAATCTTTTAATACCTAAGAATTCTAAGGGAATCACATTCCCTTCAAAAGAGGGAAAAAGATGATGTGGAGGGTAAATTTTATTCCATGGGAATGTTGCATAACTCCAACCAAACATAGGAATCTTATATAACCAACCAAATATAACCTTGGTTATCTTAGATAACCCGAACCAAACGCCCCCCAAGGGTTAAATTACTTTTTTGTGAGTTAAAGGCTAATTCACGGAGTCCCAATACACTTTAACTAGAAAAACCTAATTATCAAAAAGAGGGAGAGAGAGAAAAGCCCAAAATCGAAATTAGATTGGCGTAGGACAGGACAAGACCAGACTCGTTAGATTCTTTCCTTTGCATAGGATCCACGAAACACTGCACAACACCAGACCAGATTCATCTCTCTCTCCACCAGACAGTAATTGCAATTTCCATGAGTGATTTTCTGTGTGCATGTCACGTGCTGCTGGGGGAGAAAGAGAGAGAATATTGGTGAAAAAATTAAAAGGGGTAGAGGGGAAAAAATTAAAGTTGAAGGGTCAAGAACCGAAAAATGCATGGGTAACGTGTGGGAGATTACTTTATGGTATTTAAGAGGACAGATTTCTATAATTAGAATTTCTTCAACGGCTGGAAACCGTTTTGGAGTGTTCATCGTTTTTACATTTGAAGTTCATCAGGGTTTTCGATGGTGACCACTTTGTACCCCTCCTCGATACATCATTTTCCCCCCTCCTTCATAACATTCATTCATCCATTCATCATGTTCTTTCTCCTAGTATGAATTTTTTTTCTCTTTGTGGGCCCACGATTCGGTTCTTGATCTGCATTCGTCTATTTTTCATCAAATTACGCCAACCCAATTGCATATTTAATTTGCATCCTAACAGAGTAAGAATTTATTATACTTCTCTTATATATGTGTATGCAACAACACTGTTGAAAAACCTGTTCTGAATAGGTCTGATTGAAATTTGACTGTATTAGTCTCACCTCGAGGTAAAAATACTTGTACAATATGCACACAATTTTTTTTTTTTATTTACTTCAGAGTCGTAATTAAATACCAATAATAAAATGAATACAATGATGCTGATATTATTAGATCAAGAGAAAACGAAGTTTTGGGAGTTTTTCATTTAGGATTCAAAGAGTGCAGTTAATTATAAGGATTAATCTCATGATTATAACATGTTAGGTTTCTAAGGTAATATAATGAACCGATGACAATGATATCATTCGATCGAGAGAGATTAAGAAAGGTTGTGTCTAATCTTTTCAAAACTTTGGTGACCAAAAAGTTTGGTTTCATATCAAAAGATACCAGCACCATAAAGTGGGAGAGTATAAGATGAAAAGAGGAGAATATCTAAAAGACAGAACATTTATTTATTTATTATTTATTTTTATTCCTTACCTCGGCTTATTGTCTCCTGTCTAAAATTGTTGTTTTCAAAGACTTCCTAAGTTTGGAAAGATTATTAAAGATAGAGCGATAAGGTTTTGCGAGTGGCCACGATGGCACCGATCATTCAGGGCCAATTTGCTCCTCTTTGGGAGGTATTAAACTTGAAAGATAATTTAAGCTCTTAAAGCAAAAGGCCACCACTACTTTATAATCATGATATATAAGATCATACCTTGCACCTTCTTGAAATTAATGATTTGTTCAAATAGCCATATATGTAATAAGTCTGGCGTAAAACGATTTCACGCGAGATGTTTACTGTGTATAGATTCATATATGAGTATTATATTTTGGTTAAAAAGTATTAGACGACGGTCCATTCAAGACCTAGTCTTGATCGTATTCACAGAAAAGTCAAGTCATGCACGTTCTGGATGATGCCGCCACATCGTTCTATGATCTTTGAATAGATTTTATGTGAGCCCGTCTCACGTGAGATGTCGTAGTTAAAATTTTCTTTATAGTAAAATTCATAGAAAAGTATTGTATTTTAACCAAAAAGTATTACACATCTCAAGTGAGAGACAGTCTTAAGCAAGAGTTATGATTGATTCTATCTGGATGACTTTGTCACGTTTTATGTAATAGTGTGAGTTTCTGTTCCTTGTTCCATGGCCTAAAATAATGATGAATGTTACTACATAGTACATACTTGTTGCATTATGAACTTTTTGATCAACTAATTGGGTTGTCGCTTGATTAACAGTCTTAACAACGTTATATGAGTTTTTCCCTTTAAAACTATATACATTTAACCTGTATGCTTGGGTGGGCATCAAAGACCTATGAAAAAGAAATTATGTGAAACTATTGAAATAACAAAAGGTTAGAAAATTGAGGCATCTATCTATCTATCTGGTTACGGGAAACAATTAAATTCCTCAACCAACACATGCAAAATGTCCGAAAATGTTGACATTATTAACTTACACTTGAAGGATGTTTTTTCATGAAATTTATAGAAAGGAAAGGAGGCTACGGCATTCCAATTAGGGGAAGGGGGAGTTGCATTTGTTGAAGAAGAGAGAAAGAAGAGGTTTGCTTGAGGAAATGGGAATGATAATTAGGGTTTGTGTTGACAAAGGGGTGGCACAGGAAATGAAGGCCCCCCCAAAAATGGAGGGAGACAGTGACCTAATTATTATTCTGAAGAAGGAAGTAGTTACACATATGCCATCTAATCATGGCTTCAATCTTTCAATTCCAGCATTTGGTAAATTGTACAGTGGTTTTTTGTTGCTTGTTATGTATGGGTATGGCCTGCTGTTTGATAACCCCCCCCCCCCCCCCCCCCCCCATTCATGGATATTTTCCCAGTCCTAGTGCTAAAAGATTGGGCTAGATTCTCCTATAAATGCCAATATATCAATGATCAATCGCCCCAACCCAAAACAAGAAACACACAGACAGACAGAGCCTTACTAGATAGGATAATGGCCGATGGGACATTAGTCCCACCATGGGTCAAGTCCGCTCACAAGTCACAACATAATGGAACTCCACAATCGAGGACAACATCCAAGGCTAAAAACGTCATTTAGGATTTCAAGAGCTCCATTGTCTTGGTGGAAAAAGAACAGGCATGGAGTTTTAGTAGAAAAATGCATTATAACAGACCCAATTCTATACCTACCCTAAGTTTGTAAGGATGGAACCCTACATCTTGGCTGTTAGTGAAACAGAGCTAGCTCTCAGCTATCTTTAAATTGGTTTTATCAACCAATTGAGCTATGTCAAATCTGGCTTAATGTATGTAATATTTGGTGTATGTAAGACAAGGCACTATAAAATGGACTATTGTTTTTAATGTCCAAATATATCAATCACACTAATGAGTTTTATGGAGCTTTAAAGAAGGCATAATACATGTATTGTACATTATAATAGAAGAAAATTAAATGCCATGGAGTAACATGCATCATAATTCACAAGGCAATGCAATGGGCTTCCATTTCTGGCCTCAATTGCATTGCATTGCATTTCATTTTTTCCTTTCTTCCCAGGAAATATGCCTTTGTCTGCACTTCGCAGCATAGCTCCTCTTCTAAGGATTTTTCACTTCTTGCATTAGAAAACCGGCAAATAAACTGTCCGGTTCAAAAGGTAAGCAAGTTGAAATACAATATATGGTGTGTGTCATCACTCACCAATCGCTCGTTTGGATTTTATCTTCAGGTTCTCGTTTCGCAGACTGCAAAATTCTAGAGAATCCTGCATTATATACAAAGTGCGCCCATATCAGGTAATTCAGCATCAGATTGATTGGAACCTGCAACATTGGCAGCTCTACCTTTCTTTCCTTGCTTTTTGTCTTTCCGCCCTTTTCCATATTCAACTGCTTGACTGCTGACAGGGGAATATAATTTGCATGAGAATAAGAAAATAAAGCCTTTCAAGGGGCTTTCAACATTTCCCCAATTACATGTTTCTTCTGTCTTAATTTAGGCATGAGTTTGCCTTTTCATGTTTTGTAAATTGTATTAAATAGAGAATACAGAAAGAAACCTTTTCAGGAATTATATACGGAAGAGAAGTATTCGCTAGCTTACACTGCCAATCTTGCAGAAGACTTCCCAGCAACAGAACCACAACAAGACTTATATTTCTTTTTTGAACCGCAGGGGCAGGCCTTATTTCGTGGAACTTTCTATAGCACCAAAATACACGGGTTGTGCAAATGTCAGGGAAATTCAGCAGAAAACGTAGGTCAAACATTGTCAGGTTACCTAGTAGAATGCACAAGCGTAATAATTTACCTTTTCATCAAGCTGTGAGCTGCAATTATCATGACCTTCTATATCATTGTTAGCTGAATCATGTTCACGAGTATTGTCCTCGGGTTGTACAATGCCGTCATTGCAGTTCCCCTTGGAGTCACCTGAGTACACTAAAACCAGTATAAGAAATTTGAGTTGTGCCGAAAAAATAATATAACCAGCATAAAAATTATATGCTAACTAGATTACACGGACACAAGCACACAAAAAGGGAGAGTGGGGTTCAGAGAGAGAGAGAGAGAGAGAGTAGAATGAAACAGAGTTGTATGATCATGGATTAAATGGAAATGCATTAAAGTAGATGAAAAAGAAACAAGATAAGACAGCATCATTTACAACAATGAAAACATACTGACCAGCCATTACCATGAGAACAGTTTGCTAAACAAGTGGATTCATTGTTTATAGACAAGTGAATGTCAGATCCTTGTTCTGCTATAAGAAATTCAATTGCAGCATCCACATCACCACCTACTTGTAGTAGAACCTTGAACAAGATACATATACAAAAGGGGAAAGAGGGGGACAAGTCATTTCATAGAATTCTAAAACCAAAAGACTATTTTCGACAAATGGTCTATATACAATATATAAAGTATCACCTGTTCAACTTTTACTGTGTCTTCACACCCACTTCCAGACATAACCATTTTAACAGATCCAGGATGCACCACATCCCTACCAGCTTCTGCTTTATGCTTGGTGGAAACATTTACAGTTTGACTGGATTTTGCTGAAAGATCAGCATCAGCCTTTATATAAGTTAAAGTTATTAGACTTCTTGCAAATAGCTATCCAAAAGTGCATCACAATAATCCTATTATTTCACAAACTAAGAATAGAAAAAAAAAATAAAATGATATAAAACCTTGATGATTACAGGCCTAGCTGGTCCACTACATGAGTCTTCTTTCAATCTAACACTATTATAATGCTCCCCGTCATGATAAGAACTGCAAATATATCGGGAGGGAGAATAAAGGTCATACAACATAAAAACAATGCTCAAGGACAGAAGAGTTTTGGAGATGTCACCACTAGACTTATTTCTCAATAATACACAAAGTGTTGCCTTAACTATAAACTATAATTTTTGTACATGTATATAATTAAAGAAATAAACATATAGACCAAGAATGGGTGTTACTCATTGTTCAGCCAAGCATAGAATACAAATGATTCAATGAAGAATGGCAAAAAGGAAGAGATTTATATATATTTTTTAATTAAACCATTTCAACCACTAAATCTGACACAATGTCAATTAGTGCACATCAATTGGTTCATCTTCACAAGGTATTAGCATTATCAAAACACTGAAAGTTATCTATTATGTCTTGTCACTTGATGTAAAGTCAGTATCTGTACATTTGCTTCTATGAAAAAGAGTTAATTACCGAAATGGTCCATTGACTACAGCAAAATTACAAATTTGGTCCTTGACTATTTTTTTTACCAATTAAGTCCCTCAACTTTAAAAATCTTAACCAATTTGGTCCTCTGTTAGTTTTGCCGTTAGGCATCCGTTAACTCAAGACCAAATTGGTAATTTTGCTATAGTCAAGGGACCATTTCGGTGCACAACTTTAGAATTTTTCAATTTTGATGCTTAACTTTGTTATTTTTATCAGTTTTGGTCCTTTCGACCAAATTGACAGCAAAATATTGCCGGATTTTATATTTTTAGGGGTAAAACCGTGATCTCAAGGAAACGTCTTCAATATCTAAACAAAACCACTCTAAAATCATATCTATATGTGTTTGATCGATGAGAACAATGGGGAAGACAGCCATAAACTAGCCATAGATCTATGGGATTTATAATGTCGACGATGGGCAAACTCTTCTTTTTCTCTTAATATGATTTTTCTTTTGTTTAGATATTGAAGATATTTCCTTGAGATGACGATTTTGTCCCTAAAATATAAAATCCGGCAACATTTCACCGTCAATTTGACTGAAAGGACCAAAACTGATAAAAATAAAAAAATTAGGCACCAAAATTGTAAAATTTTAATGTTGTGCACCAAAAGTGATAAGACCTCAAAAATTGTGGGACCAAAAGTGAAATTAATTCAAAAGTTAATTACCAAAATGGTCCCTTGACTATAGTAAAATTACAAATTTGGTCTCGAGTTACCAAATTGGTAATTTCACTATAGTCAAGGGACCATTTTGGTAATTAACTCTATGAAAAACTAACACTGTCCACTGTCCAATCATAGTGTTTGGTAAAATGGGTGTTAGCTGATAGCTGTTTGCTGTTAGCTGATTGTGTTAATTAGAGGGTATAAATAGTTGATAACATTAGCTGATTGTAGAAAAGTGTTTGGTAAATTAGCTGTTAGCTGATAGCTGTTTGGTATAATTTCCTTTCTCAAAAAGCTAATTGAAAAAGTTGCTTGGAATAGCTTTTTTGAATTTTAGCCATTTAGAGTTGCAAAAAGCTAATTAACCAAACATTTATATTGATATTTTAACTAAATCAAACAATTAATAGTTGTCAAATAAGCCAAAATTGGGCTATAGGCCAATTTTTTACCAAACAGGGCCTACTATTACAAACTAGTTTATCACCTAATTCTAAATTATAACACCACACAACTATTCATTGAGCCCATTTTATCTATATTGAATGATTAAACAAAGCAAGTGAAGTATTAATATCTGGAATAAGTACTTACAGATGGATCATCTGAGCTTCCCGATTGTCAAAATTTCGTATGTACCAGCGAGGAAACATATGCTGTAAATAAAATTAAAAGAAAGGAACATATGGGTTACCAATCAATCTTTAGTCTTTTGAGAAGAAGTCTAAAAGTTGTTATCAAATTTGTTATGGGGCACCCTTTAACTGTCTGCAAACAAAAGATAAAAATGAAGGTCACTTACTCGGTGGATGCAAATGTTACTGTGAGTAACAAGAGAAGTAGCTTGCAGTTCCATGTGTCCTGCCCATGTACCATCCTTTTCCATGGATTCACAATATTCATCAAATGGTACCTCATCTTCAATAAATGGCTCAAACATTTCACGGTTCTTCTGTTAAAAATATAGCCCCACCAAACATATTTTGATTATGAATACCATCCTGTGGAGGCTATCAACTATGTCCGAACAGCAAAGACTAAAAATTTCAAGATTATAGTCCTTTTGTATCTGAAAAAAAAAAAGTATTGACAAATGTACCCTGATGTATTGCACAACCATACTCCTATATTTCTCGTGCTTGTCCTCATCACCTTCCAATTGATCACCTATAGCTCTGCAATGTGAGACAAGAACACCTCACAAAATTAGTACAATCACAACTCCATAAGTTTTCGCAAAAGAACAAAGCAAAAAAAAGCTATGCTACCAGCAAATTTTCACACGTATTAACATTCACGTTCTAAAAACTAAGGAAAAGGGATCACATAACTACATGAGATGAGATAGCATAAGAATCACAGACCTGAAGAAACAATTACCATCTGCTGTGACTTGAATAATTTTCAAGCCCAAAGCGTCGAGCTGAGCCCGAAATTCAGAGATATCAGCCTGTTTTCCATGCTTCTTAATCTGTTCTAACCAATGCATCAATCGAAGCACATAAACAAACCATTCGAGCATCAGTCAATAAATATGCTAAAACACCGAACGTTAGCAAATCAATAGTCTAGGATTTGATACAACTCATGTATCTGCATAAATTTTTGTCGGGTCCTATTCAGACAATTTAACAAAACAATATATTCGGGGTAAGAAAAGAATGAAAATGGATCATACATGGTTTTGTTTGTTATTAGGTTTGGACTTTTGATTCCTTGTCTTAGCCATGCTTCTGTAGCCGCTCCTGCAAAATATCGGCTCAATCAGTAATTTCACCTCTCCCCGTCCGGCGAGCTGACGTTTGCGCGGCGACTGGAGTTTCCCGTCTCACCTAATCCTAATCAGGAAAGTGAGGGACGCGCTGAGTAATTGAATTGCTGGGCCTGTAAAACCTCCGAAATTGGGCCTCTTACATGCAACATTGCCAATCGTTATGCCGTGGAACGGCAAATTATATTATGCACCGCGGTGCATAATCGATTATGCACCGCGCGTCTTTTTTTTTAAATGAAAATTAACAGTGTTTATTTCCGCCGTTTCGCACCCTTTTGCAAAAAGTAACTCTGTTATTCAGTGTCATTTTGTATACACTGCAGTTTCAGTTGAACAGAACTACAGTTTCATTTCGATATAACTATAGTTTCATTCGATATTTATAGACTCAAATATGTGAAAATGTTATTTAATTTTATTTTATATACACTATAGTTTCATTAAAATACAACTACATGATCATTTTGATATAATTACAGCTTCATTGTACAATATACACTCAAATATGTGAAATGTTATTCAGTTTCAGTTTATATACACTGCAGTTTCATTTCAGTATAACTACAGTATCATTTTGATATAACTGCAGTGTCGGTTTGAATATACTGTAGTGTCAGTTGATGTTTAATATACCAAACAAACGGACTCCGTTAACTCTAACGGCGGGCCGTTTCTTTACTTAAAGAAACGGCGTCGTTTTTGACCGCGGTGCACATGCACCGCGGTCTATAATATAACGACTGCCGTGGAACCGTGTAAATCTTACAAGGTAAACACGGTTTTATAATTATGAACTATATATTCATAATTATAAAATTATATATTCATAATTTTTGAACTTCATATTCATAATTATTGAACTCTATATTTACAATTACAAAACTCTATGTCCATAATTATAAAGCTATATATTCATAATTTTTTAATTTTATATTCACAATTATTGAATCTCTATATTAATAATTATAGAACTATATGTTCATCATTATGTTCACAACTTTATGTTCATAATTATAGAACTATATGTCCATAACTATAGAACTATATATTCATAATTATGAACAGTTTTGGAACTGTGTGTCATCTTGTAAGGCGGACACGGTTCAACGGCATAATTTGCCCAACATTGCTTGCCCTAATCTAATCTTCATGTCAACACAAATTATTTTGTGGACCCGTGTTTAAATGTTCACAATTTGTCTTTTTAAAAGATTCACAATTTATATACACAATGTGAACATATATGTAATTAATTACATTAGTTTGTATTTACAAGTTCCTTTTAAATACTGCAGTTACATAATATTAATAAATTAGGATTTGATCACCTTTACATTGTAATTACAAATTGTATGAGTTTGACTTAAAAACACAATTTATATTTTAGAAATTCACAATTCCAATACTAAAAGTACAAATTTATACCGCCTTAGTATATGGTATAACAACTCTCATGCAAATTGCCAATCGTTATACTGTGAATCCTGATCCTAGATGACGTAGTTTTGAATTTTAATTTCGACGACAACCGTTTATTGTTCAATTCAGTTACAAGTTTTTTTATACTATAAAGGATATGCATGTGTCTTGTGTTATGCGCTTCTATGTCTCATGTTATGCAATTTTGTACCTTAAGCGTATGGATTCTGTACCTGAAAATAAAGTAAATATAACATGCGCTTTTGTATATTGTGCTATGTGTTTTTGTGTCTTATGTTGTGCAATTCTGTACCTTAAGAATATTGATTATGTACCTGAAATAAAGTAAATACAAAACATGTGTGATAGCGCAAAATACGGGGTAAAATATGTTATATTTTATTAAGTACGACTAGAGGTTACAGAGTTCGAATCGATCACGTGTGGTTCGTAATTCGAAGACTTGACACGCTCGGATAGTGGGTCCTAGGTTTACAAGCCCTTTAAGCTGTCGTTTTCCCTCCAGCCAAAAGTCCCTTTCTCCCGCATTTAATGCGGTATTTATAGGGTCATGAGGAACAGTGCCCGGTCCTGCGGCATGCTCGCCGCGTAGCAGGCATGCATAAGCCACCTAATCGGCCGAGCCAGGAGGCGCCACGGGGCGTTGTCTGCCACTGTCACTTCATCACCATGATGTCGGTGCGCTCGGTACCGTTCACAATTGCCCGGGTGGAACATAAAGTCTTCCGTCAAGATCGCTCGATTTGCTCTCGAGTTCAAAATTGAGACCGTATGACCGGTTCGACCTCGCTATTGACCGGAATGGTCTTAGCGCGCGACACGGTATCTGATAGGTTGAATACCGGTCAAAACCCAGGGGTTAATCCTTATCAACAAGCCCCCCTAGTCCGTACCCCGCTCTTACCAAGTAGAACGGGCGTTCGGACTGGAATAGTACAACCATATATGGACTCCGGGTGAGGGACTAAGGTAAGCCGCGTCCCACATTACGCGAGTGGAGCCTCAATTTCGCTCCTTTATGCGCACCCCCGGACGCCTGAGATCGCCTTGATAGCCGCGAGCGCGCCTCAGAAACTGAAACGTCTCCCTCCTTTTTCTTCCCTATAAAAGGGGGGTCCACGGAGCTTTTTGCCCTTTACGCTACCTTTGAACAGGAAACCGGAGCTTCTCGAGCAATTGTTAACGTGCACCGGATCTCATCGGTTATCTCTACAAGCCTCGCCAGCTTACCACTCAATCGGTAAGTTCCGACCTTTGAGATCTTCTTTAGGGTTTGATCCTGGTTACGAATTTTATTTCGCTCGCTTATAAACGATCGTCTATGAACCGCCTTTCCCCTTGACTCTAGGGCAAAGATATGTCTGACTCTGATAGTCAGAACGCGCCCGTTCAAGGTTATGACGAGACGGTCGAGGTCGGCAGCTCGCCGGCTACTTCTTGCGATTCCTTACTTCAAGCTGTTGAGGCGTATTCGGGAGACCACGCTGCTCTCCGGTCACCGCCGGGTCGAAGTAGCAGCAGGTCATCCCCAGACAACCAACAACCCTTTCCTCCTTTATCGGCCGTCGCAGCCGATAACTCTGGTCGGGGTAATTCGCCCCGTCTCACCGAGGCGGCCTTTTCAATAATGGGCCAAGCATCCACCTCCGGTTCCTGCGCTGACCTCCTCGAAATAGACTTAAGTTCGTTCCCCCCCTGCTACAGCCAAGAAAAAGGCTTTTAAGCAGTGAATCTCTCGGTCAGGAGGAATGTCTTTTGACGCGGGCGAACGTGGCGGAAGTGGCTGCCTTGGTAGGGGGCCAGGTTGAGGTCAACACACGTCGATCAACAGGGGGAATCGTTGATCGCACCACGGGAGATGGCTCGGGGTTCACCTTGATTCCCTCAAAGCCCCCCTGACATTCCCGTTCAGCCCATTTCTCATCTCTTTCATGAGGTACTATGGCGTCTTACCCGGGCAAATCGCCCCGAATGGGCATAGGATTCTCGCCTGTTTTCCCAAGATTTGTAGACGCCACGGGATGCCTTGTACTGTCGAGCTATTCCAGTTCATATACTCCGTCCGGAAGCTAGCTGCCAAGTATGGCGGCGGAGTACTTACTATTCAAGCCTGGGATCACCACTATACCTTTGTCCAGTTGCCCGAGAAGAATAAAGGGTGGAAAAACCGATACTTATCGATCAAATACCGTGGCCCTTGCCGGTTGCTGGGACATAGCCGACTCGTTTTACAGCACACCGCCGGCCAAAAGAGACTCCGGCATTAGCAGACGCCGCTTTGAAGATCTCCTCTGAAATATACGATTATCTCGTATTTCGAACACCAGGAGATTACGATTGGGCCCATCTAGCTCCGCCTCGCTACGATCTGGATGTGAAGTATCAGCCGGAGCCCGCCATTGTGACCGTAGCCGTTGCCCCCACCGCATCAAGTAGCAGTCAACAAGGTTGACCATCAGAAGCTGATATTGGTTCAGACTAATTTCACCGTTCTCTGTCTTGAACTTTTCTCTTGGTTTTTGCAGATATGGGTCTTGATAAAGGCTTCCCGGTCACTTCCACAGCTCCGGTCATCCAAACCAAGATCGCTCTGGGCGGAAAGAAAGCCGGCGCCGTTAAGGGAGGGTCCTCCAAATCCAGCTCTACGACCCGAGTCGGGGACGAGGAAGTTTCCATCCCGATTGCCCTCCCCGTGGCCAAAGTTCCAGCAACCGGGGCGAGCTCGGTTATCATTGCCCCGCGCGCTTACTCGAAGAGGGGAAAAGATAAGGTTACCGACCCCGAGGAGGAGGAGGTGACCCTCTGAAAAGGCATCGCAGGACTGGGCCGGACGCGAGCACACCGGTGGTGGGCATACTACTTCGCTACGACAGTGAAGACCATTCGGCAGCCCTTTTAGACAAGATTTGTTCCGCTGCCCCTCCTCTAGAGAAGACCGAGGACTGGACTACCATCTAGGTGGGCGAGAAGATAGGTCGGGACTTATTACAGGTTCGTAATACTTAATTCTTTAGATTATGATTGCCTCATGCTTCGAGTTATGCTAATTCTCTTGTTGCTGGCCTCCTCCTTTTAGATGTCCCACACTGTGGCTGATCTATTTTCCCGGGCCCAGGACGCCGAAGTTGAGCTGGACGTGGCTAATAAAGCCATAGTTTAGAAGGATGAGCAGCTCAAGGAGTTGGAAGATAAGCTCGCCAATGCCGTTCAGGAGGCCTAGGCGGCAAAACTTCGGGCCGACAACGCTCTTGCCGCGTACAAGGCCTCTCCCGACTTCTTGAGGAACGTTATGTCCGATCTCCCCGGCTTAGTTAACCACATTTGCCGCAACCTACCGACTGCCGAGGCCTTCTTTCATGCTTTTCTGAAGAACCTGACCGGGGAAGATCTTGTGTACACCTATGGTACTTGGTCTTTCAATAGCGGGTGAACAGCCATGCAGTCAGAAGTTCTTGATGCTTTGATGGCCGCCTTGGAGGAAGAGGATGTAGAGGTAGTGATGGGCGTTTTGCCCCAAGCAGCCGACCCTGGTCCCGCTCCTTTCTCGGAGGGCCCTGCTGTTGCTGAGACCGGGAAAAATTCAAGCATCCTGTGAACTGACCCTTCCATCTAAGTCATTTTCGAACTGTCGGGAGCTCGACCCCGTTGTGTCAGGCATTCAACTTTTATTTTGGTTT